GGGGGGTTGTGTTTATTCAACCTTTTAAAACTCAAAGGGGGAGGAAAAGTGGGTATCAAAGATAATTTTAAAAGGATTGTACATAAATTTTTGAAATTAGCTTATCCAAAAAGTAGGTAGACAATTTTTAAAATGTTGGAAGTACATTTTTTTCCGCTCAATCAGTTGAAACCCCAAAGTTTTAACTCAGCTGTGAATAGTTATAAAAAATAAATAAAAAATTGAAACATATTAATAGGAATTCTGCCAGTTTGTTTTTATAAATTATCAACACAGACACTTTCTCATGTGCCTCTGAGGAGGTAAGTTAGTTATTATCTTGAAGTTTTATCAACAGATTGCTTCTTTCGTTTTTGTAATATATCAAAGTGATGAAATATGTACGAAAAATCTAAACATTATTCTGCATGTATGAGTTTCTCACAAATAAATACTGATTTCTTTTTTTATATTAAGAATTACTGCTACCACTTCATAACACTTGTTGGCATTAGAACTTTTCAAAATTTCTGTTCATAATTTATTTAATCACTGTCTGACTGTTCAATGTATGAATGCTTGAAAAGTTTACTGAGAGTAAAGCAGTTTGTATTCCTAGACAATGATGAAATATTAGCAGACCTTCCACAAAGTTACAATTCTAATGTATAAGTGTTTTTCCAACTAGGCTATCAACTTCCACCTTCCTAAAATGCTATATTTACTGGGTAGTTATTGTTTGTAAATACGACTAAGATATGTAAATACCTCTATTTTTCTTGATATTATGTTTAAATGACAGTTGATTAACTTTGATAAACATAAGAACTGCAGTGAATTATACTCCTCAGATTAAAAAAACTGTTTCTTCATAAATGAACTTTACAATATACTATTTATAAGTCTAACTTACTTAAACGTTCAGTAAATTTTATTTCAATTAAATATTTACATGTTTTCATAAATGTATTTGTTAATGTAGTTATTGAAAATTAGTTTTAATTTACCTCCTTAACCTGCCATAACTATTTTTACATTACTAGACGAGGTCTGAACCAAAAAAAAATGTCACTTGTTTTCTTTCCAAAATCTTAGATAGAAAACGGTTCACACAACAGAAGTTGAGAGATCAACACCAAACAAAATATTAAAAAGTGATTTTCACACAGATTAATTTTTAAATTATACAAACGATGTCGTGTGTATTTTTGCCATTTAATAAATAGTAATTGTGCACTATTGTACTTAGTTTGTTTAGTGGTTGATTTTCGGCAGTGGCGTGGCGTGAATAATCGATAATCGATATCTCGCCATTTGAAACTATGGTAAAGAATCGATTATCAGGGTGTTGGCTGCGAACACCCTGATAATCGATCTTTTTTCATAGGTTTAAATGCCGTAACAATCGATATATCGCAACTCACGCCACGCCACTGATTTTCGGACTTCTTGTGTGATTCATTGCCATCGTAAAATTTTGAAGAGGAAACATGTTGCATACCTTGCCTTACAGCCCACTATGTACAAATTTGCCGTAGATGATCTTCTTCAGCTTGTGAGATGATACGATTTTCGAGCCCAGACTTTCCACGAGTTAGGAGATTATAAATAACAAAGGAAATGAAATATTCGTACCTTGAAAGTCATGAGGCGCGTAGTAACAAAACCTACAACGTCCACTTTTTGGCATATTGAGACAGGGGAGGAATTATGTTCTCCACACTTACATCTGTAAGCCTATGTAATTTTTTCGGAGCCAAATTTAATTTTTGTGCTTTACATTGAATTGAATATCAAAACCTGCAATCTCCAAAGAGGTTGTTATAAAACGAGTGTTTTTAACCTTTTGTGAAATTTCGACAAACTCGCGTTTCTCGCCAATCGCGTAGAGCTTTTCCAACCTGAAAATCGGACTCCCCGGGTCATTTACATGGAGACTAGCTGGATTTCAGCCCAATCCGAGAACTTTAGATTTTGACCCCGAAAATTAAGTTTACCCTGTCAATTTTTCTCGATTTTGGTCGGGAAAAATAGACCCGAGATTAGTGTCAAATCCTATGTAGTTCGAGGCATAGAACTGATTGGGTGAAGTTCTAAGGCTCTCAGTGGCTTCTCAAGCTGAGAAACGAGTGCTTTTGGCCCTTTGTGAAAGTTCGACAAACACACATTTTTGACGTGGATCAGAGGTCACGTAAAGCCTTTCCGACTGAAAAATTCGATTCATTTCCACACGGACAAGCTGGGATTCAGCCGGATCCAACAATTTTCAATTTTGATCCTGAAATTTTAGTTGATGATCATACATTCTATGATAGGTTTTCTGGAGGCAAGTTTACAAATCGAAATGTCGACAATTAGGCTCAAGTGGAGTATTCAAAACAGTTCAAGCTGATACATTCTTGTTAGGGGTATGTGCTAAAAAATGTAAAAATGTAATATGTGTAAAAAATCATCATGAAAATGGAAGATTCTGTATTTAAAAAAGTTCAACATTACAAAACTATTTGTAATAACAAGTACATGGTATGGAGGTAACAATGAGAGGGTAAAAATAAAAAAAAGAATCTTAATTTAAACTGCTGAAAAACTTAAACTAATTTAATCAATTGCCAGATTCAGTCAGAGTGGGTAGCGTAGCATGCACATAACCCTCCGGAAATAGAAGTCTTGCAATAGATAAGACAAAGTTATCACCGTTATCGAGCGAGTTCTCAGGGCCTTTGATCATACTGATACATAGTTCGATGATATTTTTCAATTCCACAAATGATTTTTCTGACAATAGGCACTCCAAAGAATTCAGTGACTTTAATGCCTCCACACTTGGCGTCAGCTCCCTGGAAAAAAAAAAAAATTATCATGAGTCCACGACTGATTTGACACAGAAATTTTAAATCATTTGTTTGATTTAGTTAAAATGGTTACATTGAAACTGGGGAACTGCAAAAAATTTTTTTAAGCATCAAAGAAATGCACATGAAATGAGATGCATTATTTAAAGTCATTTCCTAGGTCACCTTGTACTTGCAGCGCGAAAGATATTCTATGTATTGATGTCAGAAAAAAACATTGAGATTAAAGGATGTGGTTTAATTCGACTGAATCCTATCCTTGCTTGGTGGGAAGACGCTGCACAAGACGTTGACTGCCATGCCATTCCATATGATCAGGCACAATTTTTCACTCCCACATCATTTTATTTTTTCAAAGTTCTTTTTTCCTTTTGATACAAATTCATTTTTACAAGACTAATGTACGATAATGACTATTGTTGGTGAAGCTTGAATGAAACATTCTGAAGTGATCAACATTCTAAAAACAATTCTAAGCATGAAAAATGAGCGGAAAAAATATGTTTAGTAATGGTAAGCTGGTTTTGGTCATTTTCTAGTTCTAAAACTGTTTCCTGCAAAGAGAATGACGTGAGATAGAGGTTCCAGAATGACCTCAAACTCAACCTCAAACAAATTTATCAAATTTTGTTTTTGAGTCAAAGGACCCTCGTGTCCTTGTGAACCTTGTGCGTTTTGAGTTAAGCCATTATAATTTTATCAAAAAGACGGAGGAGCTGGTGGGCAAAATCACAAAACATCTACTCACCCTGATGTGTCTGAAACTGCGCCAGGTGCATCCTTAGAGCAACGAATGAAGAAGGAAGATGCTTCGAACTTGTTGGGTATTTGGGCCAAAATGTATGTTGAGACAGCTTTTGCCAAGAGTCGGAACCTTAAATCATAAATAACATGGAACATTAGGTAACAAACTAAAAAATTTAGAACATTTCAAAGGTACCTATGCATAACGATAGTGAAACTTCCAACCGACGTATCTCCTATGAGGTGTTTTAAAATCTCCGATCCAATTTTTATTTTTCAAAGGAGAACAAATCAACATCACTTCTTGAAGTTTTCATAGAATTTTCTTGGCACGGAGAAAAACAATCACGTAAGTTTTAAACGTTGAGTAGTTTTCTATTAAAAAAATAAAGTATGACACAAAGTCTGCAACGTTGCAAACCGAGATATGTGATTTGGAAGTTTTACCATCCATGTGTATTTATTCTTAGATGGAAAGAAGCAATATTGATACAATTTTTCAGTTAAATGAAATCACCAGTTTAATGACTGAACAACTTGACTTAATGTAAAAAGTCTCAATTTAAAAACCAGTGAGCTTAAACCAGACTATAATACTTTTTTTTGATTGATTAAACCCAAGTTTAGTAGACATATTTATTTGAATGATAAAATTTAATTACTGGTATCTGTTTTTAGAAATTTTAACTTCCAATTTTTGTTGTGACATTAAAGAACAAACAAACGGTGGAATTAGCAATGACCCTTAATTGCATTGCTGGAACTGACCAATTAAAGGGCTGAAGGTGTTATACATCAATGACACCTCCCACATTTTCTTTGAAATGTGATCATGCTGATTGAGAGTGTTAAGAAACAGTAACATTGTTATCAGAGGTCAATTTCCTGACCTAGCATTGCATAAACATATCTCTTTACTGAAAAGAAAAATGCATTAATGACACTAAAGGTAAGTGAAATGAAGGTAAGTACTTCCACTGAGGATCACCCAAAATTTACGAAACTCTTGTTTACATCGTTAATCAGTTTTGAGGGTGCTTTTGTTTGAAACTTCCCGCCAAGACCAAAACAGAACGAGCGCAACTGAATCTGATAGATTTCAGGTAATTGAATAAAAGAAGAGCATACCTTTTTTGTAAATACTTTGGATGAAACTTACTTCCAATAATTATTACAGCTCATACAATAGTAAAAATGATTCACCCATTGACAATCTTTTTGATGAATAAGTAGAAGATTGCATTCAAAGGTACCCTTTATCATGTTATACAAGAGTATGTATTCATGTTGAGATCAGAGCTAACAGTCAGTGACCCCACACCAGTTCCTACCTTTACTGCTGAAAGCATTTAAAAAAATTGTTGCTATTAAGGCCAACAGATTGAAAAGCCTACTATCCTAGATACTTTCCAGATTTAACCATCCTGACTTTTACACAAAGTAAAAAGTAATATCTTACGATCAATTCAGATGAAAAAAAAAACATAATCTTTTGCAGCTTTTTCTCAGACAAAAACTGTATTGTAAAACTTAAATATTTCTTCCTGGACCTTCCTTACGTACGCATTGATGAAGATAACATAAATCTAACTTGGTAACGGACATTAAAGAGAATTTTTTTTTAGACAAACCTGATTATGTTAGAATTTTGCTTTACAAGTCCAATTGCACCCAAAAATCCCCAGTTTGATTTTTGCTCGGCAAAAAGAGAGGTGTTTGCCACTATCTTATGGAGATACTCAATTATCCTGGCGGATGTTTCCGTTGAACAATCTTTAGCACTCACTTGATTGGCACATAGACGAAGAGCCAAAGCCCAGAACAAGACCAGCTTAATTTCACTAGTTTTGCTGAAATATAAATCATACTTGTTAGATCAAACAATTTTCAATTTTTATAACTCGATCAACTTTTTTTTATTATTATTATTAATTTATTCCACCCGGATAAGCAACTTGTGATAAAAGATGTGGCTGAATACTTTATTAAATGGAGAATGAATGCTTTCCAGCAGGATTAAGGCACTCATGTTGTGACAATTTTCATAAAAACTCTTAGGCAGAGTAGGTATTTTTTCCATTCAGTTTTACAATACATAACATAATTCACCTCCTTCGACGCATTCTCGCTGGGATGCAGAGAGTTTTTAGCCTTCCTCATTCTTAAACCGACCTAAGCATTTGTAGAATTCCTTCTTCCCAAAATTTTCAAAGCTATCACCTTTTCTTGTTCACAAATGGCTGCATTTTTCCGAACACAAAACCGTACAACTGCACTGCCGTGGTAGGAAAGAACGCTGTAAGAGCCTAAAAAGGCTTTCCCAAATTTTTTTGGTAAAAAACAAATTTTTAGAGGATTTTGTGGATTCCTCCAATTTTTTTGGAGAATTTTATTTGCAATAAGATTTAAATAATCTGAAAATTTCAAGAAAAAATATTCATAGCTCTCATTAAAAATAAGCGTTTTCTTGGAGGAAATTTGGTAATTCTCAAATTTTCATGCGACATTTCTCCTTAACATAGCAGTACAATAAGCACGGAAGTTTCATCGCAATTTTAACACACTTGCAAACTAGTTCTCTCAATTTTCAAAGCCTTCCTGTTTCTTTAAGTGATTGGAAAGTTCCTGCGTGCCTGAATTCTCATTTAATGTAACCAAAAAATACAAATCCTTGCTCTCGTAATACTTACCAAGGTTTGACTGAAGAAATATACAATACAACTTTATTTAAAACGGAGAGTTCCTCTGGAAGATTCTGTGGAGATGGTATTGACTTCAATGTTAGAGCAAACAGAATCAGGAGATGATTATTAGCGAGAAGAAAGTTTTCTATGGGAATGGCACGAGGTTGAATTGGTTGAATTACTTGTAAAATATGATCCCACTGCTGATGAGCAACTCCATCTGCCAAAGAGGGAAAAAAAGTATTTAGAGACACAAATTAAGAGAGTTGAGTTACAAGAGCTTCATTGTGATTGTACTTTTTTCAGCTTTATTTCCTCAGGAAAGTGTGAAACCAACTTCGCTCTGACATCCTGTTTAAAGTTACAGGGCAAATATTACAAATCATCCTGAATAATTACATTTGAGGTAATAAAGTCTAAGATTCTGAATTAATATTATTTCGTGAGTGAAACTCCCTAACCACTTATCTCGTTTAAGCATTTGAAAATCTCTGCTCCCATTTTACTTTTTTGAAGGAAAACAAATTAATATCATTCCTCAAAGTTTTCACATACTTTCCTTGGCACACAGAAGAAAAATCACACAAGTTTCAAAGAATTGAAGTTGATTAGTTTTTCATTTAAAAAATAAAGTATGACAGGATGTTTGAAATGTCGCAAACCATGGTGCATGGTTCGGGAGTTTCACCATTGATTTGCTTGGATTCCTACCTGAATGTGATCCATCACTTTTCATGCACTTTTCAATGATAATTTTTTTGACATCAAACACAGATATGGCTGAAATTACCAGACGAGATCAGCGGAAAGATATGCTGTCCCCTTTGGTGAAAAGTATCACAAGCATCAAAGAATTAATTTTGAGAATGTCGAAGCATGAAGGAAAATAGTAGATAAACGGTAATGATAAGCAAACTTGATAAGGTAGAGCAATTTTAAATTTGAGTAAAGAGTCGTTCCCAGTGAATAGTGAGAGTATTGCCAATACATAGCACTTGACAAAAACTAAATTAAGCTCTTTATATTCAAAGATTCCATTTGGGAGATTTAAAATATTCTAGTGAATAAGTTTGCCTTACTTTTATTTATACTGAACCAAGCATTGCAGCAGCATTCTAAAACACTTCCAAGGGTCTCGTCAAATTCAATGGAGGAGCCTGCAATGTGCAACAAGCCGCGGAGAACAACGCAGTTAAAGGACTTATTCTGAAGCCAACTGAGTAACACCTCTGTCGAAAGGTTTGACAAAGTTGTCCCACGTGGTTGATTCAGCAGGGTAACAAACTCAACAAGCAACAGCCCAACTTCATTTGTTTGGTTTTCAGGAGGAACACCTGTCAAGCACAAGAACAGATATTGAGACACGAAATCAAACTGACTCAAACTCTTTTAGATGCGATAGATTACATATATTAAATACAAAATTGACACAGATTTGGGAGAGGATAATAAACCTTCAAAAAAAATAATACTATTGATCTACAGACTGTATTTTCAAATTGAAACCCAAAAAAAGGCTTTGCCATGATTTTAGAGATACTCATGGGGACACTGGGATTTTTTCAATAATACCAGGGTCTCCCAATAAGTCAGTTCCGCTTTTTTTTTCTCCACAAAAATAGATAGATTAAAACCATAAAAGTTACTTTATCGGCCATACTCTTAGCTTTAAAACAAGTTATATTGTTTTAATTCAAATCTCGGGGTTCTAAGATATTCAACTTTTTCAGCATCCATGTCCTCTTGCCGCAGGTCCAATTTTTCTACTTCCGCAGCACTGCAAAGATAGTATTGACAGGTTGCAAAATTATGGCTAACTTTGAGGGGATGCTGAAAAGATATCACTCATTGACTATGTACAAATAATGAGACCATAAACGCAGAAAAGTACTGCAAAGTCCTGGAGAAGCTCAAGATAGAACTTGGATCAGACGGAGCCGACCTGGGCTTCTGAGCCAAAAAGTTCTGCTCCTGCATTGCAAAATGACCAGCAATGAGGCTTTGGTTCAGCAGTTAGTTTATTAGCACACTTTCATTTTATATACTCACTGGCAACGATGACCAATTCCATTTTATCTAGTATCCGACTAATCGCTTGCTTCAATTCTGGAAGTCGGCTTTGTGCAACGCTTTTATGCCTTGTAATCAGCTGAAGAATCATTTTGACTACTGAACGAACATACAATTGCCTCTTAACAGAAGTGGTAGCATGGTAATACTGGGCTTTGTCAACATAACCTGAAACAGATGTGCAACTGAAAAATTAGGATACTTTTAAGATACTTTTAGGAATTTTAGGATAAAAAGTTGCAAATATTTTGAACATCATCATCTAAATTAAAATAAACGATAACATCAGCAAAGTGCCTTCCTTCACAATAATAGTCTTAGGAACTGAATTTTTGCTGAAAGCTTCTTGGAACTTTCCAAAGCTTCATAGTCCTTTCACAGGAAAATTAGAAAAAAATGATTGGATTTTCTAAAGAAGTAAAGAGACAAAGATATGCATAGATTCTCCAATAATTTTTCCCCACCTCCATCCGATGAAAAATAAAATTAAATAAAAGAAAAGGTGAAAGCATTTTCCCCAGTTATTTTAACCCAACACAGTCAAAATTTATCTAGAAAAAGGAAAGGCAATGAAATTAGGTGGATAAAAGAAAATAATTCAAAGAAAGAACAGGTCATCACCTGCTGAGACCTGCAGAAGTTCCAGCGCAGCTATGTCAACAGCAATTGAATCATTGTTTCCGATTGACAAGATGACTCGAGGATCGTAGCTCATCACAAACCAGTTGCAAACATTTTGGTAACAGTTGGAGTCGACTAAGTACCAGTGGAATTTTTGGGCTTCCAGTAGCAATACGGTTATCCTGCCTCCTGATTGCCGTACATTCGGTTCATTGCCTAACTTGATGAGGAGGTGAAGTAAGATGGAATGAATTTTCGTTCTGACAGGCACAGGATGGGGTAAACTTACAATAGAAGGCCACTGCACTTCAATAAAAATAGCACCAAGGAATGTGTGACAGTTGGGTAAATACTGATCCACAATCTGAAATCAAATCAAACTGAGGTGAGAGAAGAAAAAAATCAAGCGTCCTTTCTTCGGAAAAAAGTAATTAGATGATAAAGTCAATTCATTTCCCTTACAAGCTGCAAAAGGAACAAGTTGAATTAATCAATACCAGTGCATTACATACAAAAATGAATGGCTAAATATCGACGACTCAAGTCCGCAATCACAAATCTCGTTTGCGGTGTCTGAAAATCTACGCCCCTATGTTATTTTTTAAAGGAGAACAAATTGACATCATTCCTTGAAGTTTTTGCAGAATTTACTTCGCACAGAGAAGAAAAATCACAGCAGTTTTAAAGAATTGCCATTGAGTAGTTTTCCGTTTGAAAAATAAAATATGACAGGAAGTCTGTAACATCGCAAACCGAGTTATGTGATTGCCGACTTACACCGTCGAAACGTCATTTATGGTGATTTCTAAGTATTATCTGGAGCAAATTGGTAAAAACTGAAATCTTGGACGCGAACTAATGTAACCATGTTTCTTCATTCAACATTGTGCCCAGCACAGTAAAAGCCCAAAACATAAAAGAATAAATTTGAATGCTTTGGAAATCATTTTTGACACGGAACAATTATTATATTTACAAAAAACACATTATATTTTCCAGTAGTACATATTTCTTTTGCATCAGTTTAAAAGGGAATAATCAATGCAGAGAGTGCAAACATTTCAAAATCATGAGTTGAAAAACGCTGACTCCGCGAGTTTAAATATTAGAGCCTAACACAGAGCGGAGCGGTGTGATAGCAGCGCAGAACGCGCACGGGCGCCTACAAACCTAACGGGATACTTCACGCATTGCGCGACGTGTGAAGTATTCCGTTAGGTTTGTAGGCGCCTATGCGCGAGTCACGCTGGTTGCCTGCCGCGCCGCAACGCTTCAAGCAACTATTTCGCGGCAGGCGTTGCACAGTATCCTACAAGATTGAAGGCGCACGAGGTAACTAGTTAAAGAGGACTTTCAATTTTGACTGCATCTGTTACTGAAAAATGTTTAATTTGGCATTGGAGCGTTTCCTAGGCTCCCGTTTTGGTTTTCATCTCATCATATCCGTACAGTGTATACACATGAACATATCGACGGTGTAAATCGGCAATCACATAACTCGTTTGCGGTGTTTGAAAATCTCCGCCTCTATGTTATTTTTTTAGAGGAGAACAAATTGACATCATCCCATGAAGTTTTTGGAGAATTTTCTTCGCGCAGAGAAGAAAAATCAGGGAAGTTTTAAAGTATTGCCGTTGAGTAGTTTTACGTTTAAAAAATTAAGTATGACAGGGAGGTCTGCGACATCGCAAACCGAGTTATGTGATTGCCGATTTACACCGTCGATATGTTTTTATCTGCTCTTAGAGTCTGTTCTCTTTCATGACTTGATTCATGAATGAAATGTTTTTAAGAATGAAGGAACTCTTCACCTCTCTTAATTTAAAAATCTAAATTTTCGTATATACTCCCATTTTCAAAATTCTCTGTAAAGACGTTAATAGCCTGTGACGTTGAACGTCTTAAAATATACTAACTAACTAACTAGTAGTAGTATGCATTTATTTTTGAGGTGGTTCCTGTCATTTAAATGAGAAGAATAAAATGTGGACATAACATATCCACAATGGACCACTAGACAAGGTACAAACTTAAGCAATCTGATACATGTTTCATAAGCAGAATTTCACGTAGAACACGATTCACACAACGAAAATTACTGAAATCAACTCCTAACGAAGATATCAACGTTTTTATTTCGCATTGATTACGAGGAATTTGAACTGCCCGCTCACAAGAAACTCAAAGCTCTACGTGAGTCAAATCGCGCACTACAACGGTTTCAGCAAGCTTCTCAATCGAGCAATCTTCATTTCCCGCCATGTGTTGTTCAAACTATAAGCAATTTGCTATAGCTGAGCCAAAGCGTCAAGATTGAGGTTGCCAGATTTGTATATCGCAGAGTTTGTCATGATAACGTTTAGCGCGCGATGTGAATCACGTAGAGCATTGAGTTTTCATGAGCGGATGGTTTGAATTCACGCATCAAGAATCATTAAGTATCTTTGTAAAGAGTTGATTTTGGTAATTTTTGTTGTGCGCATCGTATTTTACGTGAAATTTTGGATAAGGAACACATATCAGAATGCTGAAATTTGTACCTTATCTAGTGGTCCATTTGGACAATTTTGGACATACTCATGGTTGGACATTATTTAATGGACGAAAGGTAGGTGGACATAAAGTCCTGGAAGCCACCCGAGAATATCGGCCTCTGTGCCCGGAACGCGGACGGTACGTCTGTATAGCCCGTAAGTACGGCTTCTACGGCCGGAGTTTCTTTTTCAGTGCGTAGACGCAATTATATCCTGACATTTGGGTTTTCTGTTCTTTCCCCTGAAATTTCCCCGTTTTCCCTAACTTTCAAGAACGGTGAAAAAATGTACTTCAGGAGAGAACAGACCAACAGCTGAAAGATTAGGGTTCCATGTGGAGGAGTGGATGTTATACAGGTGGCTTCCTCTATAAAAACCGACATTGCTATAGTTGAACACACTCTAACAATGACGAAACCACCACCGCCATGTCCCACAGCACAGGGTAAAGCAAAGAGATTTTACGACGTAAAATTCTTTTGAATAAGTAAGTGGGTGAGTACATCTGTTGATCACTATTTGACGAATGACTCATTTTGTTAATTCAACAGGTTCAACGTCACACGGTTGCCGGTAGGTTGATAATTTCCCAACGAATATAGTCCTTCGTTGGCTATCATAGTAACAGCTATCGTACTATTACGCGCCGGGAAAATCAAGCGAATTTGAATTTTCCACTATTCGACGACACTGCAGCTAAGTAGATATCAGTTGGGTGTAATGACTTGACTGCATGGTTAGTTGCAATAGACTATTCTCCACAGGTATTCTATTGTTCTTCAGACAATAGACCGAGTTTAGGAGTCTGGGAAATATTTATGGACGACGCGTGGATTTTTTATTCGAAATAGCTTTTCCAAAAATGTTTAAGTGGTGACCTCGAGTTCTTTCCGTCCTTTAATAATGCTGTCAATGTTGTTTTAATGTGCTGTTTCTGGTGTATCATAAACAGACGGGATCACTAAAAACTTGAATTATTTTTGGCGGGATATTATGACTGCCATTATGCCATCTTAGGATTAGAATATCCCCGTGTATTAATTAGACTACATTTTGCAACTTAGAACCGCAATTTCTAGCTCAGTTCAGAAAAAACGTACGTGTTATTAATTTCCCTATGTACATACGTGTTTTTACGAATAAGTCAGAAATTGTAGTTCGAAATTGCAAAATGAAGCTCAATTATACGAAGCTAAGCTTACTAGAAAAAGGATACGTCAAAAAAAGTGTATTTTTGGACAGTCATTTCGTGCAAAAAAAAAAAACCTCTTAAAGAGGTGAATGCAAAGTTCACTTTATAAACAGTGCTTCTTGTTTTAAATAAAATAAAAGAACTGAAAGTTGGCAACATCAAAGGTGCAACAGGATTAACGAGGCAGGAAACCCGCTCGGTCACGATGAGAACGACAAATAAATGGGTGTCTGCTTAACGCTTTTTGCGAGTGTAAGTTAAACATTTACTCGCCTCTTTTGTTACATTCTTTATCAGTGAGACGAACTGAGAAGTTGATAATAGCGAGTTAATGACGAACCATGGAAATAAAGTGCAGTTTGATGGCCGTGTAGCGTGCAATACTATCAAAAATAAGGAGTTGAGCAGGGCGTTTAGTTTATTTTTTTTTTTTTTTCATTTTGGGAAATCCTGATTTTTGACTGCTAAATCCTGATTTCATAATTTTTCCAAATCCTGATTTTTGCGGAGAACAATTGAAATTTCGGCATAAGCGTATGCGAAAGCTTAAAAAAATCCGATCGGACAGCCGACTTTTCTCAAATCCTGATTTTATGACCGATTTTTCCTCAAACCCTGATGAAATCGGCATAAAAGCCTTAAATGATTGACCTCAAATCCTGATAGAATCGGAAAAAACGGGAAAATCTTTATGCTAGACACCCTGGTGAGGATTTTTCTCGAGAATTTTCAGATCTTTTTTCCACCTAAAATTTAACAAAATTTTCAGAATTTGTGTACATGGCGTTTCCAATATCTTCCTGACTTCTAAAAATTAAAATATTGTAGTTTGCCCAAAACCTTTAGGAAGCCGATGGCAAAACTCCCAAACCACGTATCTCGGTTTTCAACGCTGCAGACTTTCAGTTACACTTTATTTTTTTACATGGAAAACTACTCGACGTCAATTCTTTAAAACGTTTGTAATTTTTCTTGTTGGTGCGAAAACAACTTCAAGGGACGATATTGATTTGATCTACTTGAGAAAATAAAATGGAGGCGGGGATTTTCAAACACCACAAACGGGACAATTGGAGGAGCTCAATCATCAATATAATAATTATTACTCCGTTTCCTGGACGAAGGAACGCAGTTACATTTCGCAGTTGCAATATTGACTCAACAATTAAATATGTGTAAAAAATATGATTGTAATATCTGTGTCCAAAATTTGGCTGATTTATGTATAAGTAATCAGTGGAAGATATCGACGGCGTAGATCCAGAGCAAGATCGGATCCTACTTTTCGGGTCAAGACCCGCGTGTAGCGCTTGAAAAGATAAAATAGGAGCGTACTTAAATTGGGAAATAGTAACGCAACGGTGACGCAATGTGTGACGTATTCCTGCACTCTTGTAGGTGCTCATATGCAGGCGCAATGCGTGAAGTATTCCTGCACTCTTGTAGGCGCTCATATGCAGGCGCAATGCGTGAAGTATTCCTGCACTCTTGTAGGCGCTCATATGCAGGCGCAATGCGTGAAGTATTCCTACACTCTTGTAGGCGCTCATATGCAGGCGCAATGCGTGAAGTATCCCTGCACTCTTGTAGGCGCTCATATCGACGGCATAAAGTTCGCAATCACATATCTCGTTTGCG